CTCACTCTGTGTTCTGCTCTGCCTGTGTCCACACTGTGTGCTTGACTTTCCTACCAAATCTTAGGGAATTTCTCTTCCATATCTGCACATCCATTAGTCTGGTGGCCCCCAGAACGTGTGGTACGGGCCAACCCCCCTTTTTCTGCTTTGGGGGGTCCCCAGAGCCACACCGGAGGAGGCTGGGAAAGTAGTTGTTGCTCTGCTTGGCTGGCAAGTGACTCAGACTTGTTTCCTGTCAAGTGTTGGTCAGCTGTCCCAGCAACAAACAGTCTAAGCAGGAACTGTGGGCATTTAGCGACCAAGTGCAGGTCCAGAGTTTGCAGAAGACTATCCTGTGTGTCTGAGTGCATCTTCCCATTGTTTCAAGACTCGAGCAGTATTATCAGCCATGGGAGCCAGGCACGCAGCTTCTCCAGACTTGTACTGACAATTATTGGGGAGGCGCACATACCCTGTATGGCGTGGTTATGATACATGGGGAAATAATATCCTAAGGTAAGTTGGAATGGAAAAAGTCTGTGTGGTAAGGGAGTGCAAGCTCATGAGAGGTTAGCATGTCTGCCATGGGATTGCACCATTAATTGAATCTGAAGGGTTTTGGATTTTAGATTGACATAATGAGATCTGGAATGTTTTGCAGTGGTAGGGAAGGTGTTGCGGGTATTGTAGTTGGTTATATTTCAAGATTTGATATGTATGTATGTATGTATGTATGTATGGATGAATATATGAAAACACTCATATGTGTATGCACACACACACACACACACACACACACACACACACACACACACACACACAACACACACACACACACACACACACACACACACACACACACACACACACACACACACACACACACACACACACACACACACACACACACACACACACACAAACACAAAACACAAACACAAACACAAACACAGACACACGCACAAACACACAAACACAGACACAGACACACGCACAAACACAGACACGCACACACACACACTTACTTTTACATACATACATACTTATGTATGTCTGTATGTATGTATGGTTCTTCACTCCTTTGTCTTTGCCTCTCTTTGCGTGTGCTGTTTTACCCGTGCTCCTCTGTGATTCATTCCTTTCCCCACCTACATACCAGAAATAGTTAAGGAAATATCAATAGCAGTCATCGTACATAACTGAGTAGGTGCCATTATATCAGTTCAGAATGCCAGTATATAGTCATTTTTATTATTATTGTAGTTATTGTTGTTTGTTATTTTTGTTATTGTTGTTGTTATTATTATTATTATTATTATTATTATTATTATTATTATTATTATAATTACTATTGTTATTTTTATTATTGTTGTTAATAATATTATTATTACTGATGTTTTTACTATTATTACTATTTTTACTGTTCTTGCTATCATTATAATTATTATTATTATTATCATTATTATTATTATTGTTAATATTTTTATTATTATTATTATTATAACTACTACTTTTATTACTTTTATTATTGAGTACAATTACTATGACTCCTAAAACTTGATTTATTACTATTGTTGGTGGGATCATTTTGATTTTGCAGTCAGAACATGAGTATTAATGTAAATGCTGATTTTATTATAATCAAACATGATATCATGATCATATGAATGATAATTATAATAGGGAATAAGAAGACGAATATGGTGATAAAGTTAATTTATTAATATATTTTCAGCAACGTTGGTAACCTTATCAATGTTAATGTTATAATAGTGATGATCGTAAAATTATAAGAGCGAGTAGATATTTGTATTTTGTTTACCTAGAGCTGCTGGGTGATGGCTCGTGCGTACATGCCATGCCCACTGTGAGTCTGATTCTTTAATGCTTTTTACACATGGATGACTCCACAAGTACCAAGTCACCAATGAGCCGACTGCCAGTACTACCTGTCTCACCTGTTTACCGTTTTCCTTGATTTATTATAATATTTCCTGATATCTAGTATTATTGTTGGTAATGTCAACAACAATACAATAATTTTATTGTCTATAATTTTACTAAGAGCATCGATACTGAAAATGTTTGTGATAGAAGCCAATACAATAATTTTGATGTCCATAATTTTACTAAGAGCATCGATACTGAAAACGTTTGTGAAAGGAGCATTTTTCCCGCAAGCTCAAGGAAAGGTGAAATCAGAAGAGGTCACAAGGTGTACCAACTGACTCGCTTTTCGGCTAAACACTTCCAGAGCCATCTAATACTATAGTGAACGCAACATTTCCCGGAGACGTGTGGTTAATTTATCTTTTTTATATTATAGTTGTCATATTTTTGTTAGCATTGTTGTGTCTCATTTTTTTCACAGTCAATTATTATTAGTGGTTTTCTGTTGCTACTGATTTATAGTGACATAATGATGATGCTCTTGATAATGTTGTTTTTATTTTAGTTATTATTATGTTTTTCATCAGTTCCTACCATTTGGTATTATTATTATTATTAAAGTGATCATGATTTTTAATGATAAAAATAAGAATATGATGATGATGATGATGATGATGATGATTATTATTGTTAATGTTACAAGTATTTCTTTTTTATTATTATTATTATTATGATTATTATTACTGTTAATATTGTTGTTATTATTTATTTTTTTTTTTGAACATTATTGTAGTTATTGTTTTTATGACAGTTATTATAGTTTTTGTTATTATTTTAATTTTTTATTTTATTTTTCTTCTTCCTTTCTTTTCTGATTTGCCATTGTTAGTCATTAGTGTTGTTGTTATCATTATTACTATTATTGTTACCATTATTATGGTAAATCACTAATATTATTATTGTCATTGAGAGTGACATTAATATTAATAATAATATTAATATTAATACTTATTATAGTGATGATATAGATAATGATGATCAACTTTTCTTCTTCTTCTTCTTCTTCTTCTTCTTCTTCTTCTTCTCCACCTCCTCCTCTTCTGATAGTCATCGTCAGTATTGTGAAAATTGTTTTGTTGTTTTTTGCTGCATTTGATATTTCTTAAGATTATTATAATTTCTTAAGAGCTTTTTTTTTTTTTTTACTGGTGTTATCATTATGCCTCTATTATTGTTATCACACTAATAGAAATCTCAGATTAAATTATTGTTATTATTATTATTATTATTATTATTATTATTATTATTATTATTATTATTATTATCATTATCATTGTAAATATCATTACTATTATGATTATTATTATCATTGTGATTATTATTTTTTATTGTTATTATTATTACTTTTATCATTATTCTATTATCATTATTAACAATGATAATGATGATAATGAAAATAATTATGATAATAGTAATGATAATGATAATAGTAATGATAATGATAATGATAATGATAATAACAATAATAATGATAATAACAATAATAATAATGATAATGATAATAATCATAGTCATAATAATCATAATCATAATCATATCAATAAGATAGATAATGATTATATTAGTATGGATAATGATAAGGATAGTCTAATAGTGATGCTAATAGTAATAGACTAATGATTATAATGATTATAGTTATTATTATTATTATCATTTGTTATTGGAGTTACTGTTATCATCATTTATACCATGTTCATTATTATTCTTTTATTCATGCATTTGTTTTTCTTTCATTAATGTAGTTAATGCATTACTATTGATTTAAATACTGCTGTATTACAATCACTACTTGATTGAGGTTCTGTCTCACGCCGTGAGCTCATGATTATTCTTCTCTTCGCTTTCAGGGACGATACTCGGGCAGCCGTCTGGACCAGTGCACCTTTACCCTGTACGGGGGCAACTGGAGATTCACACTTAACGGTCTACCACCGTGGTACTGAGGTTTGCCCCCAACCTCCATTCTGAGGTTACACAGGCCGTAACTAAGGTAAGTTGCCAAGGGGTGTGGAGCAGGTTTGATTCCTGTGGTTGATATGGGTTTGTTGGGATGTCGGTGCCGTTTGTTGAGGTTGAGGGTTCGTCATGGGTCGGTATTAAGTTTGGAGTTTTGTTCGGGTTGGGTAAGGGTTGTTCATTGTTTCCGAGATTTGGAAAGGGGGGGTTAGGAGTTTCGATTCTAGAATGTTTCCTCTGAATGAAGTAATGGAATAAGATAGATTTTCAACATTAGGCTTTTGCAATTCATGTATATAAATGACTATATAGAATTCATTACGCAATAAGTTTTTCCCCAATGCTTGCGTTGCTTCTACCACACAAGTTCTCCTCTCATCCACAGATTGGTAAATAATTTATAGGTGAAATAATATTGTAAAGATGAATCCCTATATTCATATGTCCCCTCCATTGCAGTTCTTGTACAGGCTAATAAGAAAAAAAAACATAAAATTTGCATAATTATTCTTCCTTCCACAAGCTGGCAAAGGTCACATAGAATTACTTGTGCAAAAATGAATCCCCATAAGCACATGTCCCCTCTATCGCACAGTTTGCCTTCAGCAGGCTGGCAAAGGTCACATAGAATTTCTTCCTCCTGCAGGCCTGTCAAGACTTGATAGAAATCTTCTTGCAAATATTCATCTCCCTTCATGTCTCTTTATGCAGGCCTGCAAAGACCTTATGGAATCCTCATGCAAATATTAATCGCCCTTCATCACGTGTCCCCTTCTACAGGCCTGTAAAGACCTTATGGAATCCTCATGCAAATATTAATCCCCCTTCTTCCACACATCCCCTCATTCCACAGGCTGCTATAGATCATATAGAACTCTTCTTGTAAATATTAATCCCTATCTCCCTTGTGTCCCCTCTTTCTGCAGGCTGATACACATTACCGTGGAGGTTACAAGAACCACAAGAGAACTCTTTTCTAAATTGCTCCCCGTCCCCCTTCTCGAATCCAATCCAAACATCGCCCAACAACAAGTGCTACATAACAGAATTTCGAAAGGACAATGCCAAACCGTGCAAACATGAAGCTGGAGTGCAATTTTTTCACGGGGTCTGCACGCATCCTCAACCAGGAGACGACCATGGATGCCATCAGGGACTTGGCCAAGGAGACCGTGAGTTGTTTTTGCTGTTTTTCCATCTGTCCATCCTTCCTTCTCTTACTTTCATTTTGCTTCTGACTTATCACCACTTTTTCTCTGTCTCTTGTTTTTGTCAGAATTCCTTCCTTCTTTTCATCCTTCCTGCTTTTGAACAAAGAGGGGAATTTCCCTCCTCTTTCTCTCCTGCCTTGTCTTTTCCCCAATCCTTCCTTCCTGCTGTCCAGAAATTTCCTTTTCCTCGTCTTCTTTTTTGTCTTCCTCCTCCTCCTCCTCCTCCTCCTCCTTCTCCTTCTCCTTCTCCTTCTTCTCCTTCTCCTTTTCCTCCCCCCTCTCTTCTTCCTCTTCTCCTCCTCTTTATCCCACTTTTTTCCACATCGTCCTCCCCATCCTCTTCTTTCATATTCATTTTGATATTGATACTTCCTCTTTTGTACTTCCTATCTTTTCTTTTGTATACTCATCTTCCATTTCCAAGTAGTTTGAACTTCCTTTCTGCTATAGTTGATGTTGAAATAGATATCCATTTACAAATAAATTACTTATACTGCAGTATCTTTGGTAGACTCTATTAACCTTCAAAACTACTGTCCACACTCAGCGTTTATTAAGTTTTATCTCTCTCCCTCTCTTCTCAGGGACGCGAAGACCCATTCTATGTGCTGGACATCGGCGACATCGTGCAGAAGATTAAGATTTGGCGTCTGAAGATGCCACGCGTGAAGCCCTTCTATGGTGAAGATTTATTTGTCTCGTTCTTTCAATGTTTTATTTTTTCTCTTTTGCTCTAGTTAATTCACTGATGCTGGGATTGCAGTAATAAATGCAATGTCCATATTTATATTAGTTTACAAATTTTGTTTACATATAGATAGGTCCATGAGCAGTCACCAAGGAGTTAATTACTAGTCCTACCTGGTCATACCAGTTTACCCCTTTCCTTGATTTTTGGAAAGATTTTTGTTATTAGTATGAATAATAAAATTGTAGTAAACCTAATGTTGATATAAATAATACTGATAACAGTAATGATATAAGAAGCACTAGAAAAAAGTAAAGGAAATTCAAGGAATGGGGATATTAGATGTGTTTAGGAAGGCTTACTTACTGACTTTTTGGTGACTATGAGCTTGCAGAGCCATGTTCATGTAAAGAAAATCAGCAAGACGTGTAATTACCTGGCACCAGTGGGTTAATTAGAAAATCTGGAAAGACATGCTTTCTTAATATATATTCATAATAATCCATAGCTTGACTTCTGCACAGTATGAAATTGTTAACTTGAAGATCCATTCATTATTTTCTCTCACTAATGCTAATCGTCTCCTAAAGCAAGGCTACCCATCAAGAATTTTCTATACTGATCTGTCGTTTTATTATTACCAGGCTCTCTGAAATGCCTCATGTTGCGAAAGAATATTTGATCACAAGAAAGAACATGAAAAATAAAAACTATGCTAGGATACTTTTTGTTAAATCTTCATTTGCCTTTGCAGCTGTGAAGTGCAATGACAATCAGACAGTGCTAGAGTTGCTAGCCGCTCTTGGGACTGGCTTTGATTGTGCATCAAAGGTGAGGCTTGATTGTGACCACATTATACAGTTCGTCGAATGTTCAGTTCGCACAAGTGGAGGGTTAGACTATGTTGAATGTGTTACGATTCATGGAGGAACTGGGGACTAAATATGTATGACAAGTTTGTTTCATATATGATAATGATAGCATTATACAAAATTTGTTCAGTTGTTTTAGATTGATTACTTAAACAAATTTCAGGATTACTGGTAGTGTGTGTATATACACATACAGACATGCACTCCCTTTGAGTGGGTGTTACATTTAGGAATATTTAGTTGAAATAGTCTGATGTTGAGATTGTATTAGATCTCTTAACTCATTTACTTTTCATGAATATTAATTATTATATAGAGATTTTTTTCTCATAGTCTACCCATCTTCCTTTCACACAGGCGGAAATAAAGAAGATTCTGGACCTGGGCGTGGATAGGTCTCGCATCATCTACGCTCACCCATGTAAACCAGCCTCCCACTTGCGCTATGCAGCTAAGGAGGATGTGTCCCTCATGACCTTTGATAACGAGACGGAACTCCATAAAGTCAAGGCTTACTACCCCAATGCCCAGTGAGTGACAGGGATTTTTGCATTTTTATTACCTTTTTTCATTCCGTTATTATTATAATTTATTCTTAGTTGGTTATTTTATTTGTTTACTTATTAATTGCATCAGAAGAAGTATATTGGTTTGGTTCATATTTCTTAGATTGCTTATAAATAATTTTAGAGGAACAGTTTGGAATGTGGGAAGTAAAGCCTGTTGACATCAGGATGGCATTTATGTATGTGCCATATCCCCTGTGATTTTAGTTCATTGATGTTGCCTACATGTAAATGGCTCCACAAAGGCTTAGTCACCAAGTAGGCATTTACTAGTCCACCTATGTCAGCTGTCTGACCTTTTCCTTAATTTTTTTGCTTAAATATTTATATATATATATTTTTTTTTTTTTTCTTCTTCTTTGGCTATTACAGTTTTGACAGGATTATAGGAATAACAAAAGTCACTAATAACAATAGTGTCTATATTAATACCATTAAAAAAACATTTTCCCGGAAACTCAAGGAAAAAGGAAATCAGGCAAGGTCATGGAGGGGGTTGACTAATTGACTCATTGGTGGCTGAGCATTTGTGGAGCCATCTGTGTGTAAACAATTTTCTCAATACAAAACCAGAGTGGACAATGCATTCCCAGTAACTGTGTTACTTTGCTCATTTCCATAAAGATACAAAATTAAAAGTAGCAACCAGGGTGAATACATATTCTTTTTGCTGGTTGACTTCATGCTTCAGTAGAAGTCTGATATCTTGATGTAAATTCACCTGGAGAATTTATTTAGCTGCTTGAGGTAAATATTGTTTTATTGTTATTATTGTTATTACTTTTTTTCTATTATTATATACCTTCTAGGTGAAAGATATAATAGGGGAAAGTGGGTTTGTAATAGACGGATCTTCCCAAGACCTGGGAACTGTGTGGAAATTCAGGTCTTGATGGGGATGAGGTGTGAATTACTGGGGTAGATTGTAGTTCATTGATTTATATGTATTTTTATGTATTTATTTGTAGTAGACTGGTATTTAGTAATTCTGATGTGTCCAGTTGTCATATTTATTTATTCATTAATTTTTATATTGGTTAAGGGCATAGAATGAAGATAAAATCCAGAACTCACAAAAAAGTACGAATCTCACTAGGTATCAACACGAAAAAGAAAGAGCAACTAATTAATTGAAAAAATACGCAGCTATAACCACATTTACTCACCACAGGCTTGTGCTAAGGATCCGCTGTGACGCTGAAGACTCCCAGTGCCCCCTTGGCATTAAGTTTGGGGCTTTGCCTGAGGATGCTGGAGCGCTCCTAGCCACTGCCCGGGCACTGGATCTCAACATCGTTGGTGTCTCTTTCCATGTTGGGTCAGGCTGCCGTGAGCCCTCCGTGTTCCAGCGGGCAATTGCCACAGCAAGGCAGGTCAGTTGGTGAAGGGCATCTTTTTAGAGGATATCAGTATTATTAGTATTGATAATAATGGCAATGATAATGGTGATATTATTATTGTTGATGTTGTTGTTATTAATGTTATTATTAAATAATTTTTCATTAACATGTTCTGGGTGGATGTCAGGTTGGGGCATTGTTAAAGATTATTCAGTCATTTGTCAGCCATTCTTAGTTGCAAAATTATTAATCAATGCTTTTGAAATGATATATGAAGGTTTTTTTTTTTTTTTTTTTTTTTTTTTTTTTTTTTTTTTTTTTTTTTTAATCAATTTATATATTGCACTAAATTTGTTACATGATCAGGCTGAGGATTAGGATGTTATACATCATGATTTTCATTGTGATTTTTTAAGTATGTATTCAGTCACATTTTCTGCTATTATCATGATCCATCATTTTTTCTCTTCTTTTGATGTTATTTGGCTTCACTGCTGTAATATTTCTTTTTGTTCAGTCTCTAATTATTCCTGTATAACTACCAGGTCTTTGACGAAGCCCAAGAGCTGGGTTTTAAGCCGAACTTGCTGGACATTGGTGGTGGTTTCCCTGGGACACGCAACAACACCCTGGATGAGATTGCTGAGTATGTCAACAACTCCCTGGACGAGCACTTCCCTGAGGGCTGTGGTGTCAAGGTAGGGTGGGGATACTATTTCGTATTATTTTAGATTTTGAGATGGAAATCAGCTTTTTTTTCTTCTTCTTCTTCTTTTTGTCTTTTTCTTCATTTTTCATTCTTTTTCTTCTTTTTATTTTTATTATATTTTTATTTTTTTCTTATTTTTTCCTTTTTTCGTTTTTCTTTCATTTTTTGGTTTTTGGTTTGTTGTCTTTTCTATTCTATTCTATTCTTGCAGTAAAGTCTAGGTGAATTTCATTAACTTGGGCATGTTATTAAATTACTCAGTGGCTGATTTGATTTTGATTCATCGTCTAGAAACTTCATATATAAAATAAGAACTTTTAGCGTGGGTTTCATTCTTCAAAAACATACCGATCAGCAGTAAGTGCATAAATTGGCTTATACAAGTTAACGGCACCTGCTGAAAGATGCAAAATGTCACACCATGTCTGTTTCAAAATTTCAGGTGATTGCTGAGCCAGGCCGATATGTCGTGGCATCAGCCTTCACCCTGGCCACCTACGTTATGGCCAAGCGGGAGGTGTGTGACGACAACGGCACATTTCTCTCCGCCATGTACTACATCAATGACGGTGTCTACGGATCCTTCAACTGCACCTTGTACGACCATCAGGAAGTGTACCCTGTGTTACTGGAGGTGAGCGTTTTGATCCTGAACGTTGTTGCTTGTACAGCTTGACTCCGAAATGGTGGTGCTGTACTCGAGGGAAGGGTTTTCGTTTGGGCCACGAAGAATAGTGCTCTATTTTTATGAAATGGGTGTGATGGAAGTGATTGAGTGAGAGTGAGTGTGAATGTGTTTGTGCATGTGTATCTGGGTATAGGAAGTCTTACCAGATTAACTTATATTGGTTCTGGACAAGACCCATTTAATGTATTCTTTGTACCAAACATTAACCTGGTAGATAACATTTCCTGTTTTGAACTTGATCCCCCCCCCCCCCCCAATTGCGAGCTCTTTGCTAAAAAGAATATTATAAATTTCATCGTCAGCTCAATTTTTAGTCATTCATGTGGAATGTATTTCTTTAAGCTTTTTTATTATTAGATTTTATTCTCATATGAAAGTGAAGCCATGCTGTCCCAATTTCATAGTATCTTCTCTTTTTTGTCACTCATTTTGAAGCATCTTCTCTTAATCTTGTTCACATATCAGATTTTCCCCTTTTCTCCTGCTTCTTTCTGTTAATCAGAACAACTTTCTATCTTTTCTATAATTTTTCTCTTTTCTTTATCTATTCTTTTCTTCTGCCTCCCTGGCTTCCTCTATCTCCTTCCTTTTTTGCTCCATCTATTGCTTCCTTATTATGTTTCTCCAAATCCAAATTACTGAGAAACCCCTCTTCATCCACAGGACAAAGGCCCTGAGGAGTCTTACACTCCCTGCTCGATCTGGGGCCCCACCTGTGATGGTTTGGACCAGGTGGTCTCCGAGGCTAAGCTGCCCCAGCTGGCTTGTGGAGACTGGCTGGTCTGGCCAGAGATGGGGGCCTATACCCTGGTTGCTGCTGGGAGTTTCAATGGCTTCCCACTCCCCAGTGTCCATGTGGTTGTCCCACACCACACATGGTAAGAGACAACTAGCTGAGAGTGTCAAGGGCTGTTGCTGTTAATTTAGTTGTTAGGCACCTATTTCATTTTCTGGCATGATGGTCTGATATGGAGAATCCAGGTTTGGCTATTTTGTATTTTTATACAGATGTAAACTAACATGTTAAGGGAGACAGCTACAGTTTTAAGGGGAATGAATGCAAGAGGCTTGACTCGTCTTCAGATGATAAGCCCATGATGAAATTTCTGTAACTTGCCATGTGAAGAGGAGTCTAGTGACTCAGAAGTTCATTGGACAGTGTTTCCCTTTTATACTTCCCTTACTATTGAACTGTTTTATTACATGTCTATATTTAAGGTTAAAAGAGCATAGTTGTTGATTTTGAGTAAGGATTGACTATGGGAGGAACAAACATTGTTATTGTTTTAGGCATTTGCTTTGGTTGAGTTTGAAATAGTACAGCTACCTTTTTGGGGAGCAGTGTATTTGATATTGAAATTGAGATTAGTTTAGCATCTTTTTGTATATCACTGAATAAACATCATACCAATTAAAAAGTGAAAAACGTCCCATCTTATCCTCTTCATCATCATGACAGGCTCTACCTGGAGGAGTTCATGGGTTCAGTCGTCAACTTCAAGCAGATTGATGGGGCCTGCGTCATGATGGGCAGCTCTGAGAATGATCAACAGCAGCTGCATGAGAGTGGCTCTGGCTCCTCCTCTCTGACGACTCGCTGGCCATGCTCAGTCACCACTCATGACTCTGGCAGCCTGGATGAGCAGCTGGCACACCTCACTGTCATCGATGTGGGTGAAATGTAAAAGGAAAGCAAGCATCCAGATTTCCATGACCTTCCCTATGAATGAAGAAGTATGCATTGAAGTTAAGAAGAAAAAAGTCTATATTAACCAATCAAGACCAGTAACTGATTAAATGTTTGTTGTAATGCTGTTGGTATGTTGAATTTCTTTTTTTTTTTCTCTCTCTTTTTTTTTCTTTTTCTTTTTTTTTCTTCGTCTCTTGAGAGTTGATTTAACAGAACATTGTTATCAGACAATCCATGTAAATTGGAGAGAAATCACTGACCATCGAAAGGAACTGATCACTTTTTTCATATTAGAAGCCATGGGATATTAAACATGTGCCAAGATGTTTTGTTTGTTTCGGGAATAGCCTTTTTTTCCGAGATTGAAGAACCAATGTCAAACTTGTCCCTTTTCTATCTTTTTTTTTTTTCTTTTAGGGGTCTCTGTTTCATGTTAAGTGGTTGTGATCCCTGTAGCAATCAAGTGGCCATATCCTCATGGTTTTTGCTAGTATTCAGACACTTAGGTGAAGTAAGACTTGACTATGCTCACCATGAGGTCAACTGAATAGAAGTGACTGTACTGCTAACTCTGTCAGTGTTACTCAGTCGTCTTTACTCAGTCGGTGTTACTGTTTACATTTTATGTGCTCGATTTTGTTGGCAATCACTAGAGCAAACTTGTATGAACTAGTAGAAAGCCCATCTCAAACTCAAGTTTTTTAAAAAGAACAAGACAGAAAAGAAAACCTTTCTTATCAGTCTCAGGTCCCTTCGTTCGTTCTGTTCTGCCTTGCAGCTTGAGAAGTGTTGATCAGTACTTGCAGATTTATTTAATTTTTCATTATTATCATTCTCTCTCTGTTTCTTGG